ATCTATATTCCATATTTATTAATACAGAATATAAATGTTTTTTGTAAAAATAGATTTTTTAAGAACTTTTTACTGAATTTATAATAAAAAACGTTTGCAAAAAAATTTGTAATTAAGAATTGACATTTTTTTTAATATCTCAAAAAATGTCTTAATATTTTTGTTATCATGATAACAAAAATATCAAGACATTTTTTCGAGATATTAAAAAAATGTCTTTGCTTTTCTTAGTAGTTAAAGGTATATAGATACCTTTACCTTTAAGTTATGCGGGGGGAGAGGGTCGGCACAGAAAAAAAAAAATTACCTGTTACTCGCAATATTTGAATGAAGATAACTTGTTAAATTTCTTCTGCGTGCGATTCAATAAGTTTTTTTTTTCATAAATCAAGTTATATTATAAGGTAAAGAAATCATGAGTAGACTACAACATCCGCTGATGACACTAATATTACGTTGAATATATTTATATAACGAAGGTTTCATTATGCACGCGCACATTACAGGTTCCGTTAAATAAATACTAAGGCACGTTCTAGTTTAATGACAGTCTCCATTTTTTACTAATGAATATGTATTTTTCTTTATAAAACAAAACAAACTAGTATATAAAAACCTTGTATATTTCTGTTATCTCTAAATTGTTTAAAGTTCGAATATGGATTGTATTTTGAAGGACAAAAGATTTACTTTAAAAACTTTTAAATCTTGGGACTTTGCCGATGCTTTGCCGATGCGATGATCACAGAAAAAGAGAAGACTTACGTTATTAAAATCAAATGTAAGTTATGTGATCTTCATCAAAATAAAATATTATCCAAAAACAATGGTGCCGTAAGGGCAACTGCCCAACGGTTTATAAATAACACAACTAAATAAAAAATTTATGAATTAAATTCCTGGCGAACGCGTTCTAAACTATGTATTAAAAATATGCTCAAAGCAGACAAAACTTTTTTATATTTTTATAAAACGCAAATCGAAACGCTAAACAGGATAAGTTTAAAAAGAATTTAAAAACCTAAATTTTTCTTTGCTTGTCAAAACAAAATCGTTGTTTAAATAATTAGCATAAGTTTGCGTTTATCAATGTTAATATTTTTTGTTTACTCTAGAAATTTTTAAAAATAAAAAAAATCATTATTATTTTTTATTCAATAACAATTAAAAACATTTATTCAAAAACAAATTTCAGAAATAATTTAAAAAATATATATATATATATATATATATTTTACTAAATAATATTGAACTAAAATTAATAATAAAATAACAATTGAAAACATTACAAAATTTTTATAATAAATTTACATTTAAAACGTTTATAGTTATTTGAATTAATTGTTACATTGAACTAGTTTGCGGTTATTTATTTATTGCGGTAGTTAAAACACTTAACGTCTATAAAAAAAAATAAAGATAATTTTATGACGTCAAAATCGCGTTAAGCTAA